TTTGACCCTTGGCGATCTAGAGCTGGGATATTATTTTCGGCTCGATTTGAATTACGATCGCAGAGAGTAAACTACTCTTTTACTCGCCTGCACTCGTTTGTCAAATCTAATGAGCGAATGTGAATTTTTTGTTACAGAGTTGAAGCGGAACGTGGCCGGCTCTGACTGCAAGTCGTTTCGGTGAGTCAAAATGAAAAAAGAAACAAAATTCTGCATGACGGATATGGGACTAAAAAATATCGTTCGAGTCAATGCAAATTGCAAATAGATTCTTGCATGTGTGTGTTTGTGACGTTGAATAAAATACATTGCTCGAAACAATCAGGGGATTACTTCATCGATAGTCTGCATTACATACGAGATTTAAAATATTGAATGATTCTCTTTTGATATTCAGTCATCTGAGCAAAAGATATTCATATCTACCAACGTGATACATCATACAGCAGTCATCAGCTGTTTTATTTTCATTTTTCAAGCGGGCCGCAAAATTATTTAACGACAATTATTTGACAATATTCAATTGTCCGCGTAAAATATATTCATACGCATAAATCCCGATACTGTTGGTTATTTTTCTCTTATTTCCAAAACAGGCTGTAGAATTATTTGGCAATATTGTCCATTCATCACGATCCCTATTGTCTCGAGTAGTGTATAATGCGCGCAGAAATTGCGCCAGCGCACGCCGAGCTTGAGGTATCCTCGCTCGCGTGCTTTTGAATATCGCGACCGCGGTTATCAATATACGCGTTTTTACCGCGCTAACAAAGAAAGTTTAAATTTTCATTTCGTCAGAGTATCGCGAACGTAAGCTTCGTCGTGACGGAACTATTATGCGTGAAAACTTTGCCCCGCTCTCTCTTTGCGCTCGGGCCGGTTTCTAATTGTCTAATTTTTCCTCGCTTGCATTCGCGAATATTTCACTCGTAGATATCGATATTCCCGCATTTTCGCGATTTTTCAGACGCGATCACGAAAAGCGCCGTAAAAATCCGTTGGACGAGTCGATAAATTTTCACACAATTCTTGCTCCTGGCCGATCGAGTTTATAGAATCCGTTTCGCAGCGCGTAAAAGGTTTCCACCGATGTCGACGTAAAACGTTCGTCAATTGACGCAAATATCGCCGCTCTAATACAAGTATCGACCGCGTCGCGGAAGTGTGGTGAAAGTCTAGCAATCAACGTGGGACGCGCTGCAAGATGGATGCTGCGCGACATGGAGAACGGCAGCGGACATGGGCAGACATTGGTGGATCTGGTTGGATGCAACGGGACATCATCAATATCATCATCGGTGAGCGTTTGACTCAATGCTCGCAGAGAGCTCTTTTATTATTACATTGTGCATGCCGCAAATTTGCATTGACTATTGTAGTGAAAAATATATTCCATGAATTATTGCCGTATATTATTGCCATATGTTATTGCCACATATTGCTGTCATATTGTTGCCATATATTGTTGCCATATATTGTTGCTATATATTGTTGCCATATATTGTTGCTATATATTATTGCCACATATTGCCATGTAATATCGCCATATATTATGGCCACTTAAAACCGCGCGAGCAATCAAGAAAATTAAATTTGCCGATAATCGCAAAGGCGCGCGGCAGACGTCATGGACGGATGCCAACAGCCTGTGTCAGAGCTGCCCGATAGCAATGCTGTTGCTGCAATTTAACTTTAAACCACAGCGGCCTCCGGTCGCTTTCTATCGCAGATTAACCCCTCAAGCGGAATGTTCTCGAGAAGCGCTCTCGACATAAACGCTGATAAAACCGAACTTGCCTCGTTAGCGCCTCGTCGCGGTATCGTCGCGGAAAATAAGGAAGAGAGAAATTAAACATCCGCACCGTTGTGAAAAAAGGGACGATGGAGCCCCTTCGAGAGTAGAATGTTATCTTAGAATAGAATCTTGCGACCGCGAGCGTTAAATTCCACCGCGGCTGCGAATGTCCCCCGACTAGTTTCTTCGCGGAAACTGAATCTTCATAACTCGCGCTTGATCGTGTGTTGAGATTCTATTGAGGGTGGGAGAGTGAAGCGGACGTTGATGATGTAAACGTAACAAAGAATTCGCGAATTTTATGATCGCTCTTTAAAATGGGCGCTTCTTTCGTCGGTGATAAAGACAAGAACAAATCAGAGCCTACTGCCGGTGAGGTCGTAAAATTGACATGGATTTTCCTTCCGCACCTGCTCCCGCGGCTGCTTAATCCGCAGTACGAGCATTTTTGCGGATAACTAGAGGGAAAGTAACCTTCGACATCTCCTAAACGGCTCAAGATACAGGAATGCGCTTTTACCAAAATATAGTGCTACATCAACCCTAATCGGACCAAAAAGTGCGACTCTCAATACCCAGTAGAAACGGGGTTAGTAACAGTACAACATTAAACAATTAACAATTAAAACATTCAACCTTCGATATCTCCTAAACAGTTTAAGATAAACGAACGCGCCTTTTCTTCCTAAACGGCACAAGATACAGGCATGCTTCTTTGTCACATTATAGTCATATATCAACCCTACTTTCAACCCAAAAAAAGACACTCAATTCCCAATAGAAGTGGAGACATTAACAGTAAAAGTTGAAAAACTTTATCCTCCGATATCTCCTAAACGGCTCAAGATACATGCACGTTTTTTTGCCACAATATAGTCCTGTATCAAACCTAACCTCACCATAAATTTCGACTCTCAATTCCCAGTAGAGGCGGAGATATCAACGGAGAAATGTTGGAAAACTTTAACCTTCGATATCTCCTAAACGGCTAGAGATAGAGGCCTGTTTCTGGCACAAAAATATAGTCCTCTAAAAACCCAACATTTCTCCATTAATTACGACTACCAACTCCCAGTAGAAGCGGAGATATCAACGGAAAAACGTTGGAAAACTTTAACCTTCGATATCTTCTAAACGGCTAGAGATACATACCTGTTACTGGCACCAAAATAAAGTCCTCTCAAAACCCTACATTTTGCCGTAACTGGCGACTCTCTACTCCCAGTAGAAGCGGAGATATCAACGGAGAAAGGTTGGAAAACTTTAATCTTCGATATCTCCTAAACGGTTAGAGATACAGGCCTGGCTCTGGTACCAAATTAAAGTCCTCTCAAAACCCTACATTTTCGACTACATGCACGACTCTCTACTCCCAGTAGAAGCGGAGATATCGACGGAGGAAGGCTGGATATCGACGGAGAATGGCTGGAAAACTTTAACCTTCGATATCTCCTAAACGGTTAGAGATACAGGCCTGGCTCTGGTACCAAATTAAAGTCCTCTCAAAACCATACATTTTGCCGTAAATGGCGACTCTCTACTCCCAGTAGAAGCGGAGATATCAACGGAGAAAGGTTGGAAAAATTTAATCTTCGATATCTCCTAAACGGTTAGAGATACAGGCCTGGCTCTGGTACCAAATTAAAGTCCTCTCAAAACCATACATTTTCGACTACATGGACGACTCTCTACTCCCAGTAGAAGCGGAGATATCGACGGAGAATGGCTGGAAAACTTTAACCTTCGATATCTCCTAAACGGTTAGAGATACAGGCTTCGGACAGGTACCAAATTACAGCCCTTTCAAAACCCTACATTTTGGACTACATGGACGACTCTCTACTCCCAGTAGAAGCGGAGATATCGACGGAGAAAGGTTGGAAAACTTTAACCTTCGATATCTCCTAAACGGTTAGAGATACAGGCTTCGGACAGGTACCAAATTAAAGCCCTTTCAAAACCCTACGTTTTGGACTACATGGACGACTCCTTACTCCCAGTAGAAGCGGAGATATCGACGGATGAAGACTGGATATCGACGGAGAAAGGTTGGAAAACTTTAACCTTCGATATCTCCTAAACGGTTAGAGATACAGGCTTCGGACAGGTACCAAATTAAAGCCCTTTCAAAACCCTACATTTTGCACTACATGGACGACTCTCTACTCCCAGTAGAAGCGGAGATATCGACGGAGAAAGGTTGGAAAACTTTAACCTTCGATATCTCCTAAACGGTTAGAGATACAGGCTTCGGACAGGTACCAAATTAAAGCCCTTTCAAAACCCTACATTTTGGACTACATGGACGACTCTCTACTCCCAGTAGAAGCAGAGATATCGACGGAGGAAGGCTGGATATTGGCGGAGAAAGGCTGGAAAACTTTAACCTTCGATATCTCCTAAACGGCTAGAGATACTGGCCTGTTTTTTTTGCCAAAATATAGTGCTTTAAAAACCCTACATCCCACCATAAATTTCTACTCTCATCTCCCAGTAGAAGCGGAGATATCAACGGTACAAATTGGAAAACTTTAACCTTCAATATCTCCTAAACTGTTTAAGATACAGGAACGCTCCTTTGTCTCCTAAAAACGGTATGGGATCTTTATGTTTGTCTCAACCCAATCTACCCTCACACTTCGCTTTGGCAGCTAATTACCGAACACTTCGTATGATCTTCATGATATTAATCATACACAATGTCAATTCTTTTTTTTGCGCATGTTAACATGTTAATTGATGTTATAAACGCGTAACCATATGCGAGAACGCGCTTGTCATGTACGCTATAATGGTTATAGCACGGACAGAAACCGCCTAAGGACGTATGTAGCACAGACTGTCGCTACATGAAGGTTTTACCGCCTGAAGTTGGTTGTAGCATGATAGTTGTTCTCTGAAAATGGATGCAGATGGCGCACTTTCCAATTGCTGAAAGTCGGTTTCGCCGAAAACGCCGTGTTTGCCGCTCTCACGTTCCTCTCTGACAGTTACTGTGTTCCAATATTCACTGCCATTACTGAAAATCTATAATATACGTGACACAAACTATGTATTTTCAGTATTGACAGTGAATTTTGGAATACATCTAGTATCATAGCTGTTTCAGCCAAGCTGTAGCTTGATAGCTACGATATTCGTAAGAGGGCGCTAGCGTTCGGAGAGATTTAGTCTCGTAAGATCGACGATCTTTATTAGTGTCTCGTCGGTGATTCAGTTCTTTTAATGTGTAAGATGGCTGCCACTGAGTCAAGTTCATCCACCGAAAATCCCGCCAAGAAAGAGGATGAATTCAACGAATTTTATACGGAGGTATGCAAATCCAGAATTATTTCAGCATTTTTCGTACATAGTATTGTTGGTCAACCAATATTCCAGTTTCTACGCTTTAATAGTTGCATAAACAAACCTCACAGTAAGTCTGACAAACGTCATTTTACACCCGAAATGAAGTAACAGCAAATACGTCTCCGGATATTAATTTACGCATTCGTTTCTCCGAAATAACGTATGTGATCCTATTGAATTTATCGGTGATAATATCGCTATAAATAATGTTTGGTGTCTGATGACTTCTAACCTATACGGACGTGTTTGTGTTTGTGTCAAAGTAATCATCTTTCTTCTTTCATCGTGTATTTGGCTTTCTGTGGAATTATTTATCGATACCACCAACATTAAACGCGTAGTTTACTGGTTTTCTCTATGTCGTACCTATTTGTTTTTTAATCTCTGCAGTCCATACTTGGTTCTATATGGAGATAAACATGACATATTGTTAATGATGTTACTGTATAAATGGTAAACTATTTATAGGAACCTCTTGTCTTCATCAGTAGTTGTCTCTGCATTTTTTTCACATATTTCCTTCATAATGTAGATTCTAAGAAAACAGTGCTACAATTTATTGAGTGATATAAAAATAGATAATTATATAAGAGATATTACATATACAATATATTAGTATATATACATATATTATATAAAATACAATTATAAAATTGTGCTATATATCCATATGCAAATATTATTTTATTATGCTAAATATTGTATTATATTGTCAGAACAATTATTCTAACATGATTTTGATATATTTTTCTATTAGGTTAAAGAGATTGAGAAAAGAGATTCTGTACTGACACCTAAACAACAAATTGACAGACTGCTGAGACCTGGTTCATCTTACTTCAATTTGAATCCATTCGAAGTTTTACAGATTAATCCAAATACTCCAATAGATGAAATTAAAAAGAAATACCGTCGTGTGAGTATTTACTTCTTCTTTTCCTGAAACAAACAATACAATCTAACTCTTGTGTCTTTCCTTTTTTGTAGATGTCCATTTTGGTGCATCCAGACAAAAATCAGGATGATGCAGAGAGAGCGCAACAAGCCTTCGAAAGTGAGCACAACAACGAGAAGATATAAGATCTATTACAATGAACATTTAAGAGAATAATCATCTTGTTAATTACAGTTGTCAATAAAGCTTGGAAAACTTTGGAAAACGAGGAAACCAGATCAAAATGTATGGATGTCATTGAGGAGGCAAAGGCTCGAACGGATCACATGGTAAATAAATGATTATACATTAACGTTTGCGATTCCTCAACAAGGTTTAACGATACAGCGTGTGTGGTCAATCTACGCGATAACACCGAGTGTCGTTATAGATTGCAGAGAAGAAAAAGAAACTAAAGAAAGAAGGTAAATCTGACAATTCAAGTCTGTCATTCGGGTTCTTGGAAGAAGAAACCGAGGAAGGTTACCGACACGCCGTCTGGGTCATGACAATGAAATTATTTGCTGATATGGAGCGGAGAAGGCAAGTTTTATTCAAATATGGTCTATTTTTATCGCTGAACTACTATACACTCAGGGAACATAAAAAGAAATAAATATACATGTAGGAGTTAGTGAAAGGGAGAGAAGAAGAGAATAAGTGCAAGTTAGTGCAGCCAATTCAGCAAGCTAGAAAACAAACTTTTTTATTTCTAACAATCTTAGGTGCTAGTATTCTTCATTAATCCTCTCAAACTCATTGGAAAACATTAACCATCATTGTTCTCTAGACGAGAACTCGCTACCAGAGATGCAGAGCAACGCAAGAGAAAACGAGAAGAGGAATTGTCCGCGGAAGCTCAAGCAGCACTGGATCGTGAATGGCAGCGTAACTTTGAAGAGTCCAGACAGTCGCGTGTCGACAGCTGGAAGGCATTCCAGTCTGGTACCAGTGCGAAGCAAAAGAAGGCAAAGAAGCTGAAAGCATTCAGGCCGCCGAAAACGAAGGCGGAATCACGATAATCGCGAATTCTCCGTTTTCGTCTCTGTTTCCGTTTCTGTTTCCTCTTTGCGCGGATTCTAACGTTAGTCGACGCGACACTTTATCCTAGACATTTTCTCGTAGTGTTAAGATAGACTAAGCGCGGCCGTAAGTCCAGTTTTTCCGCTTAGATAATCGTGATCTAATGTGATCGGTGAACGAGAATATTCAAGATACGTCGATGTGCGCGCGCGCGAGAGAGAAAGAGAGAGATGCGGAATGAAAACGGGGCAAGAGCGCGGACAAATAAACAAGGAGTGTACCACTCTTTTTGGTGCGCTGTATATATGCTATTATCGAGTGAAGTTTCAGTGTCACGTTTTTTATAAAACGCGATATGTTATGAAGCGCATGACCGCGCGACTGTGAGGGGCTCTTGCCAGTCTCGCATCTTTTCTCGCGAATCCGAACGATCAGAGATCTTACCGTAACATGTAATCTCACGATCGTAGGAACATCGATAACTTGCATTTGTAAAAAAAAAAGAAAAAAAACAGGGAAACAAGAGAACGAAAGGCCGAGAGAAAAGGGAATTTCTCCGTAGCATTGTACATTGATACCACGTATCGCCTGTCACGTAACAACTGTCAATTTTATAATATACGTGTGTCTCGTACTTTTATTATTAAACGTACGATTGTCCATTATAGGGAAAATACAGTTGGCTCTATATTATAATGACGAACTCTCGTAAAGAGTTCGTGTTCCGCGATATCCGTGTGTTTTGAACAAAACCAGCGCTCGAATCGTGTGAATTAATAAAATGTGAGATTTTGACGAAAATTACCGATGAATCGTCGCGAATGCTTTAACATTCATCGTAGCAAAGTACCCGCTATGAAAATTCACCAAGTTTCAGCAAAGTCTCAAATTGTTCGTCGCAACGCAAGGTCGTTTTCACGCTCTACACGTAGGAAAAGGATTCGCTTCTCACGTTAACATTGGAATTATCGACGACCTATTTCTACCGAAACGATCGGGTTTTTGAGAAAATGTGTTACACAAGAATGTTCATTTATTTCTTTTAGTTCTTTTATTTAATGTCCATGAAAAATATATAATGTTGTTATATACACTTAAGTAATTTTCATATGAAATTACAAATCGATTATTTTTTATCTCTTGGTAGTTTTGGCCTCTAGTGATCACTAGTGTTAACGCGAAGGGTCCCACCCTGCGGTTCAAATTTCCTTCGACTGAGGGGATTCTATCGCGATGCAAAAGCTTGCTATTCGGTATCGCGATAGCTTCTCTCTACCGTCTTGACGGGAATTTTTCGACGTTGTACGATCGTCGAAGCAAGCCGCCTGCGACGAAAGGTGATTCTTTCGAAATTTCGTAACTATGAACTGTGAATATATATTATACGTATAAATTGTTTTCAAAAAAGACTGTTCATTATGCGGGACGCCACATTGCGGCTCTTCTCTTGCTCGAACGTGATTGCCTAGTATGCATGTCGCGTTATTATGTCGAATGTGTTAAAGAGTCTTCGACTGAGTCGTGTGATTTTAACACAAAGGTGTCTATTCGCATACCGCGCGTGAAAAACGCACGGACGAATCAATCTGCGAAGACTATTTAATATGCATAAAACACAGGGTCTTTCTCCAACTTCCCTCCGACTTTTTCCTCCGTCGATGGATTCTTCGAGCAAAAGCACTGATTCGATCTTTCTTTCGCAAAAAGAAAGATACTCATCGACAGGAGAGAATCGATTCCGTATTGATCGCGGAAATCCGTAGATAAGAGAGATAAACTATCGCGATATATTCCGAAATTGATTCTCTCTTTTTCGAGTTACATTTGTAAATACATTGTGCGGTACAACTCGCGCTACTAACCGCATTGGTAACGACGTTCCCGCAGTAGTTTTCGCCATTCTTCTTATATATTACAGGTGCAATATAGCGTAATCTACACTCTTTATTATATACAAGATCAATTTAAGTACAATATTATACACGTATATTGCACGTCGCTCGAAAGGATTAGGGAGTTGTTTTTTCGGGCATTTGTGTCACTCGGAAAATACTCCAAGTACTCTATGATGTACTTTTGTCAGTATCTCGCTCTCTAATCTTTTAATCTCTATAACGTAATGTGCAGCGGAAATGCTTATACTTCAATCACTTGTCTCAACCCTCTTGACTCAAGCTGCGGAAGTATTCACTCGTTATGACTTCCTAACTATTTTGAGCAGCGTGCACTTCATACTAGACAGTCAATCTGAAAAACAGAAAAGGATAAAAACACACAACAATCACTTTTTTGTATGTGAAATTAATATAGATCTTTCTTTCAACAAGGTATATATATATATGTATATATATATACGGAATATCTTTTATTGAGATATTCGCGTTATTTGCGCCGCTATATTATTTGTAAAGCTACAAGACCTAAATGTAAACAGAATATGTCGCAGGCGCTCGATCCCACGAGGTGCCGGCATATCAACATCGCGAGTCAGTATAACGTCGTACTTACGCGATTCAAATAGTATGTTACTATGTTACACAGTCGTGTATACTGACTGTTGACGGTTTCGTTTACGAAAGTAATTTCAGAGAGAGTGAAGGATAGCACGGGAGATCTCATTCGGATGATTCTTCTCAACCGTTAGACGTGTCTCCGATGTGACATGATGCCGGAGAAGGCGAAGAGAACGAAGGTGTACGTGCACATGATACTTCGAGCGCTTCGCGAAGAACAGCTGATGCAACGAAGAAAGATCCTGAGATTAGCGTGAGTACTTTGAAGATACGAAAGTCAAGTCGGTCGAGATAAGTTTGATTCAATTTCCTGCCTTTAAAGCCTGTGAACCGCTCAACAAAAACGAAAACGACGCTGGTGATTACTCGGTTGTCTTCCATTGAATAAAATGCCGTCAAATTTGACTCAATAATTCGAGCCAAACTTTTCCGACCGAACCAAGGTATTTTAGTGAAAATGTATTTGATTTTGTTATCATTTTAGAGCTTTTAGACAAATTTGTGCGGAGTGAGAATTGAAACACAGCTCGAGCGAGCGAGCGATTCTACGCGAATAATTTCGAAGAAATTATATTTCTCTAAAATTAATATTTCTCGAAATTACAATATATATTTATTCGGTCAGAGAGATAAGTAAGGGGCAGATAGTTTATTGCAAGAGCAGTTTCTCTGATTTTTGCCATTGTGGACGATTTTATCGTTCTCCGTAATATTCCGTAGTATTCCTGTGTGACGAAAAATGTCTCTTTCTTGTATTTTTGTATTTGCAATAACAGGTGCAATTGAATATTTTATAAGCGTATTTATTGTCTCGTAATGAAAGAAAATTACTGGCGCGATGTCGTTATTGTCATAATTTCTAACGGCATTATCTTGCCAGTCGGATATTTCGTCATTTTTAAAGCGAAACTCAAAACTCGTCTTCGTCAATGACATTTTGGCAAAACGAAAAAGAAAGATAAAAATTATAGCAACGAGAGAATTTTAATAGTAGAGTCAGTCCGATAGAATTTTCTGTCTTGAATGTAAAATGGAAAGTTTTACGGGGGATTCAAAGAGGCAGTAAAACACATCGAAACGCAAGATCACGCTTGATACAAATATTAATCATCATAGTCGGGATAATAGCATTGTTCAAGAAAAGGACAGGGAAAAAGAATTCAGCCGAGGTCCATGCACTCACTTGCGATCGAATGCATTTCACGCTACTGCTTTACCATTCACACAGACGGAGTGTGAGTAGAATTTTAAGAAGCACTTTACGGACTCATATTTACGCGCAATAATAATTCGATATTCCTGCTGGTAATCGAGATTTCACTTCCAGAAATACATAGAGCGTAAAGGAAATATTTAAAAATTTTTTCATGTATATCTATATAGAAAAATAAATACATACGCGTTTGTGGGATTGTAAAATCCCACAAACTGATCCTATGAATAATTTTATGTGCAAAGTGAGAAGAAATCTAAAGAGTAAAAATTATTTATTCATAATGGGTGCTAGTAACATATTCACACTTATATCAATATATATATTTTTACATCGAGGAGACGCTCTCTTCGAATGAGAGAATATGCGTTTTCTTGAAACCGTGGCTTTTCACGAAAACAATTGTTTATTCTATTTGAGTAAATACGTTATTAGTAACCGGGTAAAAATTTTTTAGAATATTTTTACAATATTTTTCTCTCAAGTGTGTTCTATAGTCCGAATTCTGTCGTGAAATGTAGATCGACCAGAGCGAATTTCGCTGCGACGGTAACCGGCGTAGCCTACGACAAGTCGTCCAAATAACAGCCAAGAGTTCGTCATCACATCCAAGTCACACTCGCTATGTGACAATGCATCCCACGCGATGCGTTCACGCTCGACAGGTGCACGCGACCGCGGCTCGCAGCGCGCAACAGGTAGCATCGCCTTCCGCGTCCTTTCGAATTTTCGTCGCAGCACACCTAGGTTTCTCCGCTTAGATGCGAGATGCATTCGCTGCGAGCGGTCGTCCGGAAGGAGAAAGAGAGAGAATCGCGCGCGCGTTAGTGCCAGTCGCGATAGTTTACCGCGAGCGATCTGAATGGAATAAGAAGAAACCGAAAGTATCAAGCGGCCGGCGTACTGTTACATGTCCGTTAGTACAGCGAATGTAATACAGATCGCGAGGATATCGTGAGTGAAGATAATTATACGATGGCGCGAGATAAATTTACAGAACTCGTTTCCCTTCGTTTCTTTTCGCGCTGCTTATTTTTTGCCCGTTTCTTTTCGCTTGGTCAAACGTTAGGTTGACCAAGTGCTACCAATTTTAGTGCATTGCTCCCTTGCTGCACATTTATTTTGCGCCACCATCGTTACTTTTGCTCGATATACTCTCAAATCTGTATTTAACATCTTTTTCTCCTCACGTTTTGGCGAGTCGTGTGCTGGCTGAGAAAAATTGATGCAAATTCGCGATATGTGTCTCTAATGAAAAAATGGCAAACACTCAATACGTGATAATATTCACGGGGAACAGAAACATTTCAGAAATTCCGCTCAGACTTTCCGCTCTCTGACAGACTTGAGCGCAGAAGGACAAAATATCGTCGTGTCGTCGATTGCGACGTTACCGATGCGCCGCGCCGCGCGGGTGAATCACACGAAGGAAATAACATTGCGGCAATAACATTGACCGCATGGCCGATGGAAACTCGCGATGGTATCATTTCCTGCGACATCGTTCGTTGTCCTTCCCGGCGGTCGCTGAAATTATTCCGTTACCCTTCGGGCGATTCGCGCGGTGCAAAAAGAGCGAACGCTGGATGATCCATTGACGTCACGCGTTGCAATGCGCCGACGATCGACAGGATCACCGTCACTGGCGTATCACCGTCGGATCGTTGTGTCTTCGCGCGCGAAGAAGGAAGCAGGATCCGCGTTTTCGAACAACTCGCTTCTCGCCAAAATATATCGCCTACGAATGAGGCGAATGTAAGGTATAGGAAGTGTTTTCGATGAGACAACTACTTTGACACCAACAATGGCGAGGAATTTGGTGCGGAATACCTGAAAGGGATCTCGGTGCGAGGGAATTCCCTAATTCCTCAACAATCGTCCCGTCATCTTTCGCTACGAATCTCGCACTTCGCTCGCAAAGTTCTCGCAACGTGAGATTCCTAGAAAATGACGAATCTCCTCGTGCGACCACAACACGATCGCGATTTGACCTCTCGGCGGACATGGCCCCGGCGAGTTTAGCTTCACTCTCGCCTGCATCCTCGCACTAATCTCACGAGAGATCCCGATTTTTCTCTCGGGCTGCTCGAACGCGTCATACATCACTGATCCTCGCCGTAGTATCCACAGCGCGTAGATACGCTCGCACACTTACACGCGACCTCTCCCCGATACCAAACGGCACACCTATGGAAACAGGTAGAACGGTGCCGTACACAGAGCCGCGGGTTCACGCACACACGCGATAGCCAAGAATTCCACGTGCGTGCAGGTTGAAGGAAGAGAGAGAGCACGACGGTGTGCACGCCACACGACGCACATACACGCACGAAGTAAAGAATCGTACCTCCGTGTGCGTGCGTGAGTAGAGGGAAAAGAACACGCCGCGTCGCTCCGCACGAACATACTCGCGCGAGCAAGTCAACGATGAAGAACACAGCACACACACACACATACACACACAGCACGCATACACACAACACGCGCGCGCGCACGCACGCATACGTCGCTATTCTTACACGGACAGGTATGGAAAAACGCGACGTATGCACACACGTACGTATGGTATATGTGTACGTGTGCGCGCGCGCGCGCGTGTGTATGTGTGTGTGTATGTGTGTGCGTGCACAGGTAAGACCGACGAGAGCGAGCGAGCGAGCGACACTCGTCGGGGGCTTCAGTGAGGTGTTCACCGTCGTGTGTGCAGCTCCTCGTGGTTTCGCGAGCCTCCGCCTCTTCCTCCTCCGTCTGCCCCTGCTGCGCTCGGATTCGGGGGACTAAGCCGAAGAACGGGCCCCGGGATCGCTCTCGGCGTGTATCGATACGCTAGCCTTGACGGGCGCCAGCCAGCCTGGACACGCACGCATTCAACCCGGCGAATCGCCAGCCGAGCACACGTGTACCGTCGTCGTCGTCGTCGTTGTCGTCGTCGTCGCCGTCGTCGTCGTCGTCGTCGTGGTGAAGCGCGCAGGTAGCTACCGCGTCGTCGTCCCTCACGTAAATCGGCCGCGCAACGGAAGAAGAAATCTGGCCCCCGGCCTCCCGGAGGGAAGGACGAAGAGAAGAAGCGTCGGCGACCTCCGGCGACCTCCGTCGCGATCCAGAAGGACCTGCTGCTTTCACAGTGTGGGAGGAGCGACCGCAGGATGCGACCGATCGGTGATTGATCCGCCGCCGTGTGCGCGCGCGCGCGCGCGCGCGCGAGCGCCGACGATGTCGACGACGGACGTGGTCCGCATCGTGCAGCAGGGAGCCGTCGACGAGGACCAAGGGTAATCTCTCGCTCTCTTCGATTCCGATTCGGCAGGGACGTAAAGAGCGCACGGTGAAGGGCCTCTTGGCCGCTCGGGAATACGCTGTGCGCGCCGGTGGCAGTGAAGGTTACCGTGCGATCGCGAGCCGAGCGCGATATTGCCGAGGATCGCGGCGAATCCGTCGAGCGGTATCTCGAGGTAGAGGAAGCCGGGAGTGAGGATGGAGCCTACGATGTTCGGCGCGTGCCGAAGCGTGCGGGTTCGACGCTGAAATCGATCGGCGACGTCGATCGCAGATGGGAATCCGCTCGAGAACGCTTTGTAAATTTCGAGCGGATTCCCGTGGATGAGCGGACAGGTTCGAAGGAGCAGGATTGTCACTCGTAGATGTAGACATATGCGTTTTTGCGGAAACTGAAGTTGCATCCCTGAGACTCGCTTTCCAAATTCTGTCGTGAGTAGTGAGACTTAGGAGTCACCCGGAGCGGACTCGAGTCGGATTATTTTATAAAGGAAATCATGCGGTGCCGAGGTTGATGTCGGAAAAAGGAGCTCGCTTTTGAGCGCACGTGTCCATCCTTTGAGAGCCTCGCCGCTGCGAAATGTGCTTGGCCGAAGTTGCGAGTGAGAGTCGCGCCGTCGGATTCGTAGTCACGGTGGACACGCTGACGTCGTGCATTTCGTGCCGCAGGCAAATGGTGGATCGGGTCGTTAGGAACGGCAGGAATTTTCGGCCCGCCGATCGTAATTGCGCCGGTGACTGCGAGGAGAAAATAACGGAACGAG